TGTCTCCTGGCTGCCAGCACTCAGTCCCTCTCTTTCCATGAGTCTAGAGTCCTCAGATGCTCCGTTTCTCCATGTCCTCATCACTGCCTCCATCTCTGATGTCACTGCTTCTCTGGATAGGGTCCTGCATTCTGCTTGTGCTCTTCTATCTTGATGGTCCTAGGATCCTCTGTTTCTGAACTGTAAGATTAACTACTCTTCCATTTTTGTTACATAACTTCTACCTTTAAAGTTGTGACAGTTGCAAGTAGTCATGATAACAATTAATCACTATTGAATCATAAGAATCTTATGATTCTCTTTTCACCAGACCCATCTAGACAAGATGAAAACTAACAGTGTGGACTTCCCCCCGCACACTCTTAAACTAAACTCCCTCTTGAAAACTTGTAAGCCAGTCACTTCATGCCTTTATCACCCCCTCATTTTAGGTAGTCAGTGTCAAAGTTCATCTCTATCTACTCTGTGTACAGAAGGGATAGGATTGATACTTGATGTGAAGACTCGTTCCCTCTCTGTTGGTATTTTAAGCTACTACATCCATAAGTATAGGTCAAGTTCATCAAATTGTAGCAATTTACCCTCGTTTCCTTTATCAAAAAAAAAATTTATCATCCTTTAGTCACGTTCTCATTATCAAGCTATCAAGTCTAGGTCAAATGGGTACTATCGTAAGTTTGGGCATTCTTGTATGTCTCCCTTCACTTCATATCAGCTGGATGCTTCACTCTCAGTTCTAGCCCTCTGTAACTAGAGTAATCTTTCAGTTCAAAAACAGAGGATCAAGTTCATCAAATTGTAGCAATTTACCCTCAATTCCTTTATTAAAAAATTTATTTTTATATCTTCCTCTAGTCAAGTTCTGATTATCAAGCCATCGAGGCTAGGTCACATGGGTACTATCTGAAATGTGGGAATTCTTGTGCAACTCCCCTCAAGCTGGATGCTTCACTCTCAGCTCCAGCCCTCCATGGCTATGTCCTTGTCCATGGGCTCAAGAGTCCCTAGGTCTGATCACACTTCAGACCAACCAGCACTTGCTCTTTTTCTCCCTCATCTCCAGGTCATCAGGAGTCCATGAAATGTTGTTGAACTCAGCCCATTTCTTCATTGCTGTTTTTCCCCCTCTTCCACTCACCAGTAGACCAATGTGGGCGCCAGCAAACTTACATGTCTGCTCATGTGTTCCCTTGGAATTTCAGTCTTGGAGCAAGGGTTGTCCTGAAGGAACTTCAGTGCTTGCCTTGATGACTTCCTGTTCTTGTAGTAGTGAGCAACTTCTTGTTCTTGTAGTAGCCAATCATGCTACCATTTTTGTTTTGTGTTTTTCCTGATGATCTTTCTTTAAAAATGTATCTTCTATCACTCTAGCTGTTCCAGGAAGGTCTGCTTGTCCTTTCTAGTGGGAATGTCCCACCTCAGAAGGTTCTGGATGGGGCTCAGGATTCCACCTAAGGTCCTATATACTGTAAAGGCTCTGCAAGAGGCCTATTTCACTGGGCAAGATCTAGAACCACTTTTAGGTATTCCAATCAGTTATAGGCTGAAGACAGGCTTACAAGCTTTCTATAATTATTTTCCCAACATTCCTTTCTATACCACTCAAGTGTCTATTCTACAATAGTAGGCAAGGGAAGATGAGACTCATTTGAAAAATAAAGTCAATATACCAAATTTCTTGGGGATTTTTTAAAAATTATGAATTTGTCTTCCTGAAATAATCTCAACTCTTCTTAAGCTTATTTATATATTTAACCTGTACTCAACCTTTGAGCTTTAGACAAACCCAGAGGTTGTATAGCAATAAGCATGGGGCGTGTCAAAATAATCCAAGATTTAAGAGAGAACTATAATTTACAGAAACTGGGAACTTGAAACGTGTTAACATGAGCGAATAGGAAGGTGAGAAATAATTAGTTGGAAGATTTCTTCAAGATTAGGATCCTTGATTTTGTGTTTAGAGATGGGCAGTGTTATATTTGTTATAAATTTTGTTGTTGTTGTTAAGTGCAGTCAAGTCGGTTCTGACTCATAGTCACCCTGTATAGGGTTTCTGTAGAGTAGCTGGTGAGTTTGAATCACCAACCTTGAGGTTCAAACTGACCTTCTAGTCCAGTGCATTAACCCACAGCACCACACCAGGACTCCCGGGGATAATTACTCTTTCTCTATTTCTTCTTATTGGCAGAAGCTAATAAGAATCTGCAGGTAAAGGGGTTTGGGAAATACAGAGTAGATTCCTTTACCAGCATTACTGAGCAACTCACCAGCTGCTTCTCAGAAACTCTATACAGGATTGCTATGAGGAGGAACCAACTTGATAGCACTTAACAACAATAACAACAGCAATCTTGTTATATTAGCAATTTTATTAATGTTTTCAAAGAACCAAGATTTGATTATGGATTTTTCTGTATTGTATGCTTTTTATTTATGTTATTTCTTTTAACTTTATTATTTAGTTTCTTCTTTTTTGGTGATTTCGTTTTCTTTTCCTGTAGCTTCTTACAATAATTGTTTAAAATATTGATAATATGTGAATTTTAGTTGAAAAAGTCTATAACATTTTACATTTTTATCAGCAATGTACTAAGAATATACTTCCTCACCAACAATAGAGTTATAAATTTTTGGTGGTGATATAATAATATTTTGCTGGTAAACTGGTGTTGTTGTTCAGTGCCGTTGAGTCAATTCCAACTCATAGCAACACTCAGGGTTTCTGAGGAGTGGCTGGTGAATGTGAGTCCCCGACCTTACGGTTCAAACTGATATTGTAGTCCTATGCATTACCCTGCAGTGCCACACCAGTAAGTGTGTGGTGGTGGTGGTGATTATGTACTGTGTCATCTGAGGCTGTAAATCTTTATAGGAGCAGAAAGTTTCATCTTGCTCCCGCGGAGCCGCTGGTAGTTTCGAACTGCTGACCTTAAGGTTCGCAGCCTGATTCATAACCACTACACTACTAGAGTTGGTACTTCAACTTACTAGACATTCTGCAAAGGCTTCTTAGAAGAGGTTATAGACGATGTCCAGAAAAGATTGCTCTACATGGTTTGTATGATACATTCTAACATCAACATTTTAGGACTTTAGATAGGGGATTGTGAAATGTGATTAGATTTGATAATTAAACAATGAAATATCACCTCATCCCTCATTTTCAGTTCTTATAGCAAAGGGTCAGCTGCTTAGCAACAGCATCTCAAGAATCATAAAATCCTGAAACGTCTGTTTTCGTTTACAGCTATGGAGGCATTCCTACACAGCTTCCTATGCCATCTATGATGTAAATAAAAAGTAAGTGGCTTCACAATAATTTTCTCCTGTCTTTAAAAAAAAAAATTCCTCTGTGATTTAACATTTTTGTAATGTTTCTTTTCTTATATCTATTTTTTCAGGCAGCTGATTACCAATGAGAAAATTCCAAATAACACACAGTGGATTGCATGGTCACCAGAGGGTCATAAACTGGTTAGTGGGTATTTCCTATTGTCAGAAAAATAATGGCTCAGATATTTTGTGGATGATGCTAATCCTGACACCAAATGGTCGTTTTAGTAAGTCAGTGTTGTTAAGTCCTATCAAGTCGGTACTGAGCCATAGCAACCCAATATAGGGTTACTGAGGCTGTAAGTCTTTGTGGGAGCAGAAAGCCTCATCTTTCTTCCGCAGAGCAGCTAGTGGGCTCGAAATGCTGACCTTATGGTTCCAGTCCAATTCTTATCTGATGGAGCCACGGTGCCAATATCTCACTATAAAATACAGTGTTATTTCTCAGGATAATATCTTACTAGCTCAACACAGAAAATACAACTTCTGAAAGTTTCAGAGCTACTATTTGAGAATTGTTTATTCACTGGTAAAATGCTCATTCTAATTATCCTTTGTACTTATATATTTTTAAATGTTATACCTATCTTCTACTATGCTGTATCTTTTCATCATTGAATATATCTCTTCTAGTGCCAGGAAAATATCAGAAGCCCAATTGAATCTAACAGGAAGGTGGAATGTTTATCTACAATTAAACTTCCCCTTCCCAACATGCAATAGTACCTCTCTACTCACTCTCACCCAGAAAGAAAAGAAATACACCAGTGTACAGTGGTACAAGGACTCCTACTGTAGTGCTGTAGAGTAAGCCTTGGACTGCTAAATGCAAAGTCAGCAGTTCAAACCCATCAGCCACTCCTTGTAAACCCTATACAGGGTTGCTATGAGTCAAACTGACTTGAACGCACTTAACAAAAACAAAAGTGGTACAACCAGTTAATCACGTTACTAGCCAAAAGGTTAGTGGTTCAGTCCCACCCAGAGGTGCCTGGCAAGGCAAGCCTAGCTATCTACTTTGAAAATATCACAGTCATGAAGATTATGGACCAGTTCTACTCTGCACAGTGGGGATTGCCATGACTCATATTTGATTTAATAGCAACTAAAAACAAAATCATCCTATTGAAGTGTTCATGGTCAGTCTTCCGAGTCTTCACACACACTTTTAGGACCCATAGAAGAAGTCTTAGGCTTCTTATTTTTAACATACTAAGGAATGTGATGCTATAGGATAACCACTGAACCACTAGCCACAAGGTCAGTGGTTCAAACCCACCAGCTGCTCTTTGGAAATCCTATACAGGGTCTCTATGAGTCAGAATCAACTTGACAGCACTTAAGAACAACAACACTGTTTTAGGATTATTTGTGGATTGTTGGTGTTGAATGCTCTCGAGTCACTTCTGACACAGTGACCCTGTATAGAGTTTCCGAGGATCAGCTGGTTGGTTTTAACTGCCGACTTTATGGTTAGCAGTCCATTGCTTATCTTACAGTACCTCATCAGGACTCCATATTTGTGGATTATAAAATGCAAAATTGTAACTTAAGAATATGAGGGAGAGAAAAGAAAAAGAATGTTCAGGGGAGAGTGAATATTCTTTATCATGTTCAAACTGAGTATATAACCTATGGTGATATTTGCATAACAATAATTTTTAGCATAATTTTTTTTTCAATTTCCAGATAAGATATATATGTAATTATTGATACCAACTTGTTTCTCATCTTTCTAGGCATATGTTTGGAACAATGATATTTATGTTAAAAAGGAACCAAATTTCCCAAGTCAGAGAATCACATGGACGGGAGAAGAAGATGTAATCTATAATGGAATAACTGACTGGGTCTATGAAGGTAGAGATTTTAAAACTTTTTTAAAATAAGAAGTATCTTCAAGCTTTTTAAAACAGTTAAAAATTTATTTATAAATGAAGATATTCAATGACATTGAAAATAAATTGCATTAAAAGCCAGTCATGGAATCTCTTTTAGAATTTATAGCACCAGGTATTTTATATTCTCAGCAGTAGCTGGGGAATTTATGTCCTCATTGTTTCACAATACCCCTTTTGTATGTGGCTTACTGTAACAAACGGCCTTTCTTGTAGGTAGTTTTTCTGCTCTACCAGGGCATAAAAACAACCAGATTAACATCAGATGTTTTTCTAACCAGACCTTCCACACCCAGAAGTCATTAAGGAAAGCGAAATACTCCCACTACATTCCAAAGATGACAAAATATTGTCTTGAGGGGGGAAATTAAAGGGGTGGGAGTACTTTTTTTTATAGAAGAGTTGTGATCATATGAACTTGAACAAATCATGGTTCGCTGTTTGTTAAAAAAGAAGAAAATAATTTAAAAAGCTTAGAAAACTGAGTGGAAAACAAAACTAATCATATTTATTTAGGGATATTCTCTGTTTCAGAGATAAGACTTTTAGAAAGTATCAGAAAAACACTTTTAACAGTTATAGTTGCCAAGTTAAAAGGCATTTTGAGGCTATTCTAAACTATTCAGAAGATTGGTGGTGGTGGTGGTATCCTGTGGAGTCGGTTCCAACTCATGACAACCCTGTACAGGGTTTCTGTGGCTGTAAATCTTTACGGGAACAGAACACCTCGTCTTTCTCCCATGGAACAGCTGGTAGTTTCAAACTGCTGACCTTGAGGTTAACAGCCCAATTCGTAACCACTAGGCTATCAGAGCTCCTTATTCACATGATTGTTTCATACTTATTAGAAAGATCCTTATTTGATCTTCTTAGTTAAAACAATAATTTTTCTTCATGATTTAACCCATTCAAGTTCAATTATAAAGGATAATTGAAAAAAGTTAAAAGGTAAACAAATTCCCATATTCTAGTGGCTTGTCAGTTGATGTGATGGTCTGCAAGATGGGTTTGAACCACAAAGTCAGTGATACAAGCTCACCAGCCACTTCTTGGACACCCTACATAGGGTTGCTATGGGTTAGAACCAACTTGATGGCACTTAACAACAGCAACAGCAACAAATAAGTGTTTGGTTAAAATTTATGAAATTTACTAACACTAGTGTGACACTGTGGGTTAATATACTGGACTGAAAAATTGGTTTGATCCTCAAGGTTGGTAGTTCAAGCTCATACAGGGTTGCAATGGGTCAGAACCAACTCAACAACTCTTAACAACAACAACAAAATCCTGTCTTTATGGCAATTCAGAGCACTTCATCAGTGAATGCCAACCCCTGTGAGGTGCTGGAGACCCAGAAACAAATGCTACCTAGTCACTGCTCTCAGGAAATTTATCCCAGAGAAGGAGACACCAAGTGTCCTACTTAGGAAAGAGCACTCAGTCCAGAGGACATATTAGGAAGATACAGCAGGACAAGAGGTAATACAGGTGAGTTTGAACTACTGACCTTGTGATTAGCAGTCCAACACTTAACTTACTATGCCACCAGGGCACCTTTTTGTTTAATGTTGTTGTTAAGTGCCATTGAGTTGATTCCAATTCATAGCAACCCTGGATAGGGTTTCCAAGAAGCAGCTGATGGGTTTGAACTGCCACCTTGCTGTTAGCAGTCTAGTGTTTATCCTAGAACTCCACACCAGGACTTCTTTTTGATTACTAGAAGTGTTCAATCAAGTTAGGAAGGGGCAGTATAGTATGGATATGGACCACATGGATGCTAGAGTCTTGTGAGTCTGGGTTTATTACTTTTAACTCTACTGACTTGCAATTCTGAAGGATTCTATGGCAAAATATAGAATGATGCAGGAAACATACAAAGAAGATGGAAGAAATGCACAGAGTGTGGCAAAAATGGTCAAAGGTCAGCGATTTAAAGAGATAACATATGATAAAGAACCAAAATGGTATTGAAGTAAGAAGTACAAACTGCAATAAAGGCATTGATGAAAAACAAGGCTACAGGAATTGATGGAACACAAACTGAAATATTTCAATAAACTGATGCAGCACTGTAGGCACTCACTCATCTATCCCAAGACATTTGGAACAAAGCTACCTGGTCAATTAATTGGAAGAGAGCCATATGTATGCCCATTCCAAAGAGAGGTGACTTAATGGAATGCAGAAGTCATCGAGCACGATCATTAATATCACATACAAGTAAAGAATTGCTAAAGATAATTTAAAAACGGTTGCAACATTACATGGACAGAGAACTACCAGAAAATTCATCTTAAGTCTGAGGGATCTTGGCTGAGAGCATAGAATACTAGAAATATGTCTACTTGTGCTTTATTGGTTATGCAAAAGATTTTTACTATGTTGATCATGACAAACTCTAGGTAACATTGCAAAGAATGGGTATTCCAGAAAACATATTCTGTATTCATGAGGAACTGTACACAAACCAAGAGGCAGTCATTTGAACAAAACAAGGGGATCCTGAATGGTTTAAAATCAGGAAAGGTATGCACCAGGGTTGCATCTCTGCAATATGCTTATTTAATCAGTATACTGAGCAACTAATCTGAGAAGCTGGATTATATAAAGAAAAGCATACATAGTATCAGGCTTGGAGGAAGACTCATTAAAAACCTGTATTACGCAGATGATACAACATTTCAAGTTGTGAAGATGATTTGCTATACTGATGAAGATCAAAGAATACAGCCTTCAGCATGGATTGCACCTCAATGTAAAGGGAAAAAAACAAACTCCTCACAAGCGGACCAGTAAATAACATCATGATAAACTGAAAAAAGTTTGAAGTTGTCAAAGAGCTCATTTTGCTTGGATCCACAACTAACACTCATGGAAGCAATAGTCAGAAGATCAAACAGCATATTGCATTAAGCAAATCTGCTGCACAAAACCTCTCTAAAGTGTTAAAAGAGCAAAGATATCAGTTTCAGAACTAAGACCCAAGTCTCATATACGTGTGAAAGTTGAACAATGGATAAGGAAGACCATAGAAGAATTGATGCATGTGAATTGCAATGTTGTAAAAGAGTATTAAAGTATCATGGATTTCCAGAAGAACCAACAAATCTGACTTGGAAGAAGTGCAGACACTTAACAACAATTGTGAGTATGGCGTAGGACTAGGCAGTGTTTCATTCTTTCATGCATAGTACAGTCACTATGAGTCAGAAGTGACTCAAGGGTGCATAACTACCACAGCAACAACACTTTGAAAGCCATGTAACCCTAGGTTAATTATTTATCCTCTTTAGGCTTGCCGCATTTTTCTCCTCTGTATAATAGGGTATTCTGAGGAATCATTGAGACAATAGATATCAATTGCTTATCTGATGCCTAGTATATAGTTGTTGCTGTTCTTAATGGTGTTGAGTTCTGCAGAGCTGGTTCTGACTCATAGCAAACCTATAGTGTTTCTGAGGAGTGGCTAGTGGATTTGAATCACCAACTTTGCTGTTCTTACCAACTTTGTGGTACAATGCATTTTCCTACAGTGCCACACCAGTACTCCTCCATGTTAACATTCATTTCATGTCAGCTATTCATCAGGATAATCATTATTACTATTTTTATTAATATTATTGAAAATGGTCATTATAGAGAAAAGTTATAGAGAGGGTTCAAGAATTAAAAAAAAAAAAAAACTGATTAGAATGCATGATTTCCTAAAACTAAGGTTCTAGTTTCTATAATTTTACTTTCATATTTGCATTTAAGTTATTACATGAGATTTATGGATTCAATCAGCAGAAATGAATAAAAATCTCTATTATTCTCAGTAAAAATAACCAGTTGTTATTGACCACCACACATCTGACAGTTTGGTGCACCGTGGTGACTTGCACGTTGCTCTGATGGTGGAACCTATGCCACTGGTATTTTGTAAGCCAGCAGGTTCACCTGCAGCAGACAGATTTCGGCTGAGCTTCCAGACTCAAACAGATGCAGAAGGAAGAGAGGAAACGACTTCCGAATGTTTAGCTACTGAAAACATTATGAATAACAGTGAAGCACTGTCAGATACCAACACAATACTGAATACTGAAACATGATGAATAGCATCAGAATATTGTCAGATATAGTGCTAGAAAATGAGTACCTCAGGTTGGAAGGCACTCAAAGTAGGACTGGGGAAGAGTTGCCTCCTCATAGTAAGAGTTGGCCATGATGACTTGACTGGAGTAAAGCCTTCAAGACCTACATTTCCTTATGAGACACAACTCAAAATGAGGAGATACAGTTGCAAACATCCATAATAATTGGAACATGGAATTATAAAATATGAATCTAGGAATATTGGAAATTGTAAAAAATGAAATTACTGGTGATTGGAATGGAAAGATTGGAAACAAAGAAACATCAGTAGTTGAAAAATATGGCCTTGGAGATAGAAATGATGCTGGAGATTGCATGATAGGATTTTGCAAGACTAATTACTTCTTCACTGTAAATACCTTTTTTAAACAACATAAAATGTGATTGTACACATGGACTTCACCAAATGGAATATACAGAAAACAAATTGACTACATTTGTGGAAAGAGACAGTACAAAAGCTCCATATCATCAGCCAGAATAGGACCAGAGGTGGACTGTGGAACAGACCATCAATTGCTTATATGCAAGTTCAGGATGAAGCTGAAGAAAATTAAAACAAGTCCAGGAGAGCCAAAACATGACTTTGAACATATCCCACCTGAATTTAGAGATCATCTGAAGAACAAATTTGATTAATTAGATACTAATGACCAAAAGCCACAGAGCTGTGGGATGACATCAAGAATATACAGAAAGCAAGCAAAAGGTTATTAAGAAGACAAGGAATAAAGAAAAGATCAAAATAGATGTCAGAAGCACTGAAACTTGCTCTCCAGTATAAAGAAGCTACTGCAAATGGAGGAAATGAGGAGGTAGAAGAACTGAATAGAAAACTTCAGAGAGCAGCTGGAGAAGAAAAAGTCAAATATTATAATGAAATGTGTAAATATCTGGAGTTAGAAAACCAAAAGGGAAGGCAAGCTCAGCTTTTCTCATGCTGAAACCACTGAGGAAAAAATTCAAGCCTCAACTTGCAATATGGGATTTTGGGGTCAAAATACTGAATGATGAAGATCAAAATAAGATGGAAGGGATGCATAGAGTCACTATACCAAAAAGAAATGGTTGATGTTCAACCATTTCAAGAGGTAGCATATGATCAAGAGTCAATGATACTGAAGGAAGCAGTCTAAGCTGCAATGAAGGCATTGGCAAAGAACAAGCCTCCAGGAATTGAACTAATGGAATATAAGTATAATCTTTCAACAAACTGATGTGGCACTGAATGCACTCACTCATCTATGCCAAGACATTTGAAAGACAGCTACCTGGCCCATCCCAAAAAGAGGTGACCCAACAGAATGTGGAAATCATCAAACAATATCATTAATATCACATGCAAGTAAAATTTTTCTAAAGAGAATTTAAATAGGCTGTAATAGTACATTAACAGGTAACTGCCAGAGATTCAAGCCAGATTCCAAAGAGGCTGTGGAAGGAGGTATATCATTGCTGACATCAGATGGCTCTTGACTGACAGCAGAGAATACCAAAAAGATGCTTACCTCTGCAAAGACATTTGACCATGTGGATCATGACAAGTTATGGACAGCATTGTTGAGAATGCGTATTCTGGAACACATAATCATGCTCATAAGGAAGCTGTGCATAGACCAAGAGGCAGTTGTTCAAACAGAATGAGGAGACACTGAATGGTGTAAAATCAGGAAAGTTGTGCCCCAGGGTTGTATTTTTTCACCACAGTTATTCAGTCAGTATGCTGAGCACATAATCCGAGAAACTGGATTATATGAAGAAGAACATGACATCAGGATTGGAAGGAGACTCATTAACAATCTGTGATATGTAGATGATGCAACCTTGCTTGCTGAAAGTGAAGAGGACTTAAAATACTTACTGACGAAGATCAAAGACCACACCTTTTGGTATGGGTTGCATCTCAATGTGTAGGAAACAAAAATCCTTATAAATGGAAAAAAGATTGAAGTCTAAGACCTCACTTTGCTTGGATCCACCATCAACATTCATGGAAGTAACCATCAAGAAATCAAACGATGCATTGCATTAGACAAATATTGCTACACAAGACATCTTTAAAATGTTCAAGAGCAAAGATATCAGTTTGAGGACTAAAGTGCACCTGATCCAAGCCATCGTATTGTTAATAGCCTCATATATATGAATGTGAAAGTTGGACAATGAATAAGGAAGACTGTGGAAGAATTGATGCATTTAAGTTATGGTGTTGGAGAAGACTGCAAAAATAACAAACTAATCTGTGTTTGAAGTAGTACAGTCAGAATTCTCCTCAGAAGTCAAGATTTTGTCTCTCATACTTGGGACATATTATCATTAGGGACCATTCCCTAGAGAAGAACATCATGCTTGGTAGAGTAGAGGGGCAGAGAAAAAGAGGGAGAGCTCCAACAAGATGGATTGGCACAGTGGCAGTAACAATGGCCTCAAGCATAGCAGTAATTGTGAGGACCTGGTGGTGTTTGTGCTGTTTTACATAGGATCACAATGATGACAGGCACTTAACAACAACAACAACACTTGCCATTGAATCAAATTTTACTGATAACAATCTCATGTGTGTCAGAGTGCAACTTCGCTTCATAGGGATTTCAGTGCTGACTTATTGAAAATAAATCACCAGGCTTTCTTTCAAGGAGCCTCAGAGTGGACTTGAACCACAAGATTTTTGGTTATAAGCCTAGTGTTTTAACTTGTGCACCACCTAAGAACCACTTTCCTTGAATAAACGAAAAGGGGAAAAGTCCATAGCTGTTAAGTCAATTCTGACTCATTGTTGTTGCTAAATGCCATCAAATCAATTCTGACTTATAGCAACCCTGTATAGGGTTTCTGAGGGGTGACTCTTGGGTCTGAACCACCAACTTTGCAGTTAGCAGTCTAGTGCTTATCCTGCAGTGCCACACCACGACTCCATTCTGACTCCAAGTGACCCCCAGATAACAGAGAAGATCTACTCCACAGGAATTTCAAGGCTACTTTCCCAGATAGTAGGTTTTTGGATACGAAAAAAACTCAAACTCACTGCCATCTAGTTGATTCTGACTCATAACAACATTGTAGAACAGAGTAGAACCGCGTTTTAGTTTATCCAAGACTGTAACTCTTTATGGGATCAGACAGCCTCATCTTTCTCCCAGGGAATGACAGGTGGGTTCAAACCACAGACCTTTCAGTTAGCAGTCTAACACTTACCCCACTCGTACCACCAGGGCTCCTTGAATTGACATCATAATAAATTAAGCATAGAGAAGAGTTGCATTTGCCAGGGACTAAGAATAAGTCCAAAAATGTGTTAGAAAGACTTTTTTCTTTCATTTGCCTCTCTCTTTCACCCTTTTCCCTTACCCACCAGAAATTTTCATTTCTGGACTGGGTAAAGGGATGTGTCTCAGTACGGGTCTCATGGAACCTTATTTGTGCCAAACTCAGTAGTAAACTCTGGGCACCATATTGGATTGATTGCCTGAAGCGCCACACCACCCACCAGTACCCTGCGGGCTCAGTACAAACTGAGCCCAGTTGGGGAGAATGTGCTAGCGTGTTGACTGCTTGAAAATTAGAAAGGAGAATCAGCCTCCTGTGTGAAATTTACTTTTAGTATGTTTTGAGGCATAAATTTAGAGGATTCTAAGATAAAGAAAAAATGTAGAGCATGTATTAAATATTGTGCGCTAAAATATTCTAAATGGTTCAACGGGTTACTTATTTTTACAATCCAGATATAATCCTGAAGATTTTATTTTTATTCATTTGTATTACTCTGCATTTGGAAACCCAGCAAATGCAAAGTGGTTCATTAGTTGAACTCTACTGTAATTACTAAAGCTAATGAGAACAATATTTTGAATGCCAAAGCCAATTTATCAGCTACTTCTTGTAACAGAACAATTTATGTCTTTTTTCAGAGGAAGTCTTCAGTGCCTACTCTGCTCTGTGGTGGTCTCCAAACGGCACTTTTCTAGCATATGCCCAATTTAACGACACAGACGTCCCGCTTATTGAATACTCCTTCTACTCTGATGAGTCACTGCAGTACCCAAAGACAGTGCGGGTTCCATATCCGAAGGTCTGTGCTCCTATCCACTTAGTGGTTCAGTAATTTGATGGGAGGAGAATGGTTTCTTTTAAACCCTTCCTGCTAATGAAAATATTGTCAGTCTCTCTTCAACAGCTTGCTGTGATTACTCTTGCTGAAGTCAACAGCATCTGGCAATTTTAAAGTATTTTTATTATCCTAGGAAAGAGTGTGATTTAAGGTTTTGTAAATTCTCCAAAAACTTTGAGGAATGACAAGCAGAAAAAGATGGGAGAAATGCTTTTGAAAGAGGTAGGGGGAATGAAAATGTTTGAATGGAAGAATCGAGAGGCTGTAATTGAATCAGTCAGAAACTCATCTCGTTTGGAATGTGCACTGGATGAACTTGAAAAGCTTGGTTGTGTATCATATTTTAGTACTCATCAGTCAGTTGCCTGACTAGTGTTAATAGTTCAATTATAGATTTGCCACTAATGTATATTTTGCAGGTCCTACATTGGGAATAACAGTTTAATGTCTTGATTTTTCAAGGCTGTTTCCTCCGTCTAGTGTACTTGTTTTTTAATATTGAAGAGTTTGGTTAAGCATTGTAAGACAGAAAGGAGGAGACATTGTAAAACAGATTTAGGAGGGAACCATGAATTTTTCACAATGGCCACTGTATGATTTGTTGAAAAATCTAATAGTAAAGTTGTTTTGTTACAAGCAATTTGGAAAAATGGGTTTTCATTTTTATCAACTCATTCAAATCCTTTATGAAGAGTTGCCATTTTAAAACAACGTTGGAAGCTCAAAGAAATCAGAGATTAAATGTGAAGATATGTTTGCCAGTGGAGTGTTATTTTTTGAATAGTAAAACTGGCAACAAAGAAAAACCCCAAAACATAAAATATTCTCACTAAAAATACCATGTTATTTCAAACTTATCCGTCAATTGAAGATGTATTATGAAAAAAATCTATGAAACCCTTGTAAGTATATTTTTGTCATGATATTTGTTGTACAGCTCCAACATGATGAACCTGAACTTGGAGTCAAAATAATCACGTCATAATTAGAAACATTAGCCCCTAGCTCAGGTCAAGGAATTTTCCTGGTGGATTGTGTCTTTGGGCAAAGTGTTCTTCACAGAGACCAGCCTTTAAAAATGTCATGTCTGGTGGAGTCAAGCTTTATTTGAAAATAATAGAATTTATTTCAATGAGTTTATTTTCTCCTTGCATGAAGTACAAAATTCTCAGTATTCATTGTTTAGCCAGGACTGCTTTATGTCCTTAGGTGATATATATATGTTTGTTGTTAAGTGCCATTGAGTTGATTCCGACCCATAGCAACCCTGTATAGGGTTTCTAAGGAGCAGCTGGTGAGCTTGAACCACTGACTTTGCAGTTCAAACAACTTTGCAGTCTGCAAAGTTAGTCCACAGCGATATATATATATATATATAAATGTGAAAAGATCACATTTCTCCAAGATTATATTAATTTTATCTAAATTATTTTAATGTGTCTGGTTGATAACATTTATGCCAATAATGTATAGTTTTTAATTTGTGCTATTTTTTGATGACTGCTAATCTCATTATTACTGTTTTCTAGGCAGGAGCTGTGAATCCAACTGTAAAGTTCTTTATTGTAAATACAGATTCCCTCATCGCAACAGCTAATGCAACTTCTGTCCAAGTAGTTGCTCCAGCTGCCATGTTAACAGGGTAAGACTCCTGACTAAATGCTTGGGTTGCAACTAGTTTCACAGATCTCAGGAAGAGCATTTTAGAAATGAGTGGCAGAATCTATTATAGCCTTGCATCCTGTCACCGTGCAATGGCAGACATTCATTCTCTCATTCAGGAGCTCTTTGTTGAACTCCTACTTTAAAATGGGCATTGCTCTAGTGATGAAGAATCTCAATGAACAAAGCAGACAAGTCTCTAGAGTCTCATAGAGCCTATGCTTTTGTTTGGGCAGGCAGGTAGTAACCAGGGAAGCAAATAAAATGATCAATTTAGAAGGTGAAAAATGTGAAGAAAAAACAAAACAAAACTAAAGCTTTAGTTGTTAGTGCTGCTATAACAGAAATACCATAAGTAGAAAAAATGTATTCCCTCAATTTCCTTGCTGTTAAGTACCATTGAGTCAGTTCCAACTCATAGTGACCCTGTTAGTATTTCTGAGGAACAGCTTGTGGTTTTGAACTGCCAACTTTGTGGAAAGCAGTTCAATGCGTATCCTATACCAGGCCTCTCACAGTTTATTGTTGTTAAGTGCCATTGAGTCAATTCCAACATATAGCGACCCTGTATAGTGTTCCCAGGAGTCTTGGTGTAATGCACCAGACTGCAAAGCCATTTGAACTGCAAGGTCGGCGGTTCAAGCTCACCAGCTGCTCCTCGGAAACCCTTTACAGGGTCACTATGGGTTTGAATCAACATGACAGCACTTAACAACAACAACAACATAGTGTTTCCAAGGAGTGGCAGGTGAGCTTTAACTGCCGACCTTGTGGTTCAAACCGACTTGCAGTCCAGTGCATTAGCCCACAGCACCACACCAGGATTCTCACAATTTAGGAGACTAGAAACCCATATTCAGGGTGCCAGCTCCCTGAATTTGGAGGTCTAAACTCCTAAAAGAGGAAGACTTTCTCTCTGTCAGCTCTGGGGAAGTTCTGTATCTCGTTGCAATGTTTTTGGGCTGAGCATCCCTGGGAGATGTTCATGTGTCTTGTCATGAATCTTCCCTCAGATCTAGAAGTTTCCTATCACAGGGACCGCAGGTCTTCTTTCTTGGGGTAGTGAATCCCCCCTTCCCTTCTCACTTTTCTCTCATTTTATCTCTTTGTAAGATAAAAGATGATACAGACCACACCCGTGGAAACTGCCTTTACATCTGTATCAGGGTGTGACATGAGTTGTTGTTGTTGTTAAGTGCCGTCGAGTCGGTTCCGACCCTTAGTGACCCTGTACAGGGTTTCCGAGGCTGTAAATCTTTACGGGAGCAGAAAGCCTCATCTTTCTCCCGCGGAGCGATTGGTAGTTTCAAACTGCTGACCTTGCGGTTCACAGCCCGATTTGTAGCCATTACGCTACCAGAGCTCCATGACATGAGTAAGGGTGTTGAATTCCATGTGAAGTGATCATGCCATAGGGGTGATCACATCATTATGTAACAGCCAAACCATAGACCATTGTGGCCCAGCTAGTTGCCATATTTTTTGAGGACACAATTCAGTTCATGACAGTAGATTAAAGGGGGACAGAGGTAGTGTGGGAAGCTCAGAGAAAGCCACTCTAGTAAGATGACCTGTAAGCAAAAATGTAAGGACAGGAAAGGACCTATCTGCATGGAGAGCTGGGGGCAAAGAGAAAGAGTAAATGCAAAAACTCTGCATAGAAATATGTTTGGGGGCACTAGAGGAACAGCTAGGCAGCCAGGTGACTAGACCAGACCATGATATTCTTCCAGGGGAAGGCTTAGAGAAACTCAGGGAAACTGAATTAAATTTAAAGACATCTATAACACCAATGTGCTTCAAGATGTCCTTAGTGATTTAAGACTCCTCTAGCAACTAGTTGATTTTCCTGTAAAGATAGCCACCATATTGGGTGAAATGTATGACCATTAAATAGCTCTTTGTTGGTTTAATTTTTGTGTTTAAATAACAGCTAGCATATTCTGGAAATGGCTGGGTGGTGGGAATAGTTAATGCACTCAGGTGTTAACTGAAAGGGTGGAGGTTCAAGTCTACCCAGTGATACCTCTTAAGAACTGACAATCTGCTTCTCAAAAACCATCATTGGTAGCTCTTTGGAGTCTAGTTCTACCCTAACACACCTGACATCTCCTTGCATTGAGATTGACTTTGTGGATACCGGTGATTTTTCTGTTCTGTTTTGTTTTTATTGTTGTTGTTGTCAAGTGCTGTCAAGTTGATTCTGAGTCATAGCAACCCTAAATAGGGTTTCCAAAGAGCAGCTGGTGGGTTTGAACTGCCAACTTTGTGGCTCACAGTGCAGTGCTGATCCTACAGCGCCACACCAGGAAACCACATATTAAATACTCAGTATGTACTAGGTACAAGGCATTATCACATGTCTTATCTTATTAATCTTTGCAGTAATTCTCTCTTTATAAAAAAAAAGAAACTGTTATAGGCCTGACCAGTTGTGAGACCTCAGATATGTAATTTACAAATCTAGAGGATAAGAAAATGATCAAGTAGGAGTCTTTATTCAAATGTCTTTCCGACTTAAAAGAAAGAGCTATTAAACACTGTGCCTGCCATGCACCCCCTCTGTGTGAGTACAGCTAGTGCCCACCGATTCCTATAGGGAACATCAGAGCCACATGGAAGCATCCTCTTTCCTTGGGGTTTCATTGCCTATACCAATCAGACCATGGACTTTGTTATTAGTGTTGTTAACTATCATTAAATCAGTTCCGACCCATAGTAATCCTATGTAGGGTTTCCGAGGAGCAGCTGGTGAGCTTGAACCACCGACCTTGCAGTTAAAATGGCTTTGCAGTCTTGCGCATTAACCCACAGTGTCATACCAGGACTCTGTGGACTTTATAATTATTAATTTATTGACTAGGCCAGAATATCTATATCTTTCTATTTTATCTGGGGCAAAATCAGTATCAGTAAATTAAAGCTTGTGGGTTTTTTGTTTTGTTTTGTTTTTCTCTTTGTCAAAACAAACAAACCCAAACCCATTGCCACTGAGTTGATTCTGACTCATCGTGACCCTCAAAGACAGAGTAAAACTGCTCCATTGGCTTCAGGAGACTTTAAATCTTTATGGGAGTATGTAGCCTCATCTTTCTCCTGCAAAATGGCTGCTGAGTTTGAACCACCAACTTTCTGATTCGTAGGCCAACACAGGTGCCACCAGGATTCCTTTGTGAGGACAGAGGCAGCGGAATAGTGTAATGATAGAGTTAGTTTTTACTGAGCACTGGCTATGGGCTGCGATAGTTCGGTGTGTTCTGCCTGTGGTGTCGTTTATTCCCCACCAGCACTCTATGGATCCTTTTCACAGCCATTTTACAGATAAAGGAACAAAATCTTCACAATTTAAAAATCACTTTCCAAAGGAACAGTTGTGAAGTGCTCAGGAAACATCAGCAAGTCTAAGGGTTTGTTTTTCACTCTGTCTGAATTAACCTTTTCACTCACTGTGATTCTTTACCCTACACTCATGGTAAGGATGGCCTCACTCACTGGGTATTCTATGTTGAATGTATTGACTAAACAATCTTTTCTAGAAATGCAATAAATATTTGTTTTATAAGGTATTTAAAACACCACTCGGGTCTCTATTACATCAGCTTGGTTTGGCCAAAACCATGCTCTAGGGTTTTTATGGCAAAAGGTTCTGGTACATTGTGATGATCCATTTTCTGACCAAATGCAAAGATCCCATAAGTGCCAAGTAAAGACAAGTTGTGTCTTTTGGGAAAATGCCCAGCAAGCTCTGTTGTGTTGCCTGGTAATTCACTATTTTCTGAAACATGAGTCCTTACAGAATCAATATGTTTCTTCTCTCCTGTGCTTCTGGTCAAGTATTATTCATCTCCTCAGTCCTTTACTGCAGCTCCTCCAGCAAGTGAAAACATAAAGGATTGTTGTTGTTGTTAGGTGCCATCAAGTGGGAAATGACTCATAGCAACCCTTTGCACAGCAGAATGAAACACTACCCAATTTCATTCTGCTGTGCACTATTGTTGCCAACCTCACTATTGTTGCCACGCTTGAGTCCATCAATGCTACCACTGGGCCATCTCGTTGGGGGTCTACCTCTTTTTCTCTGACCATCCACCTTACCAAACATGATATCCTTCTCCAGTGACTGGTCCCTCCTGACAATATGCCCAAAGTATGAGAGACGAAGTTTGGTCATCCTGGCCTCCAAGGAGCACTCTGGCTTCACCTTTTCCAAAATGCATCTATTTGTTCTTTTGGCAGCCTATGGCACTTTCAATATTCTCCTCCAACACCATCATTCAAAAGCATCAATTCTTTTATGGTCTTCCTTATTCACTGTCTAGCTTTTGCATGCATATGAGGTTATTGAAAATACCATGGCTTGGGTCAGGCGCACCCTAGTCCTCAAGCTGACATCTTTGCACTTCAACACTTTAAAAAGGTCTCATGCAGCAGATTTGTCTAATGCAATACGTCCTTTGATTTCTTGACTGCTGCTTCCATGAGTGTTGATAGTTGATCCAAGAAGAATGAAGTCCTTGACAACTTCAATCTTTTTTTCATTGATAAGAATGTTGTTTATTGGTCCAGTGGTGAGGATTTTTGTTTTCTTGACATTGAGATGTAATCTATAACGAAGGCTGTGCTCTTTGATCATCATCAGTAAATGTTTTAAGTCCTCTTCACTTTCAGCAAGCAAGGTTGTATCATCTGCATATCGCAAGTTGTTAATGAGTCTTCCTCCAATCCTGATGCCACGTTTTTCTTCATATAACCCAGCTTCTGGGATTATTTGCTCAGCATACAGTTTGAATAAGTATGGTGAAAAAATACAACCTCCAGCAAGTGGAAACATATAGGATAGTCTCTTCTAATTGACTCCTGTGTTTATATATCTATATGGAGTCCTGGTGTGGCGCTGTGGCTTAATGCGCCAGACTGCAAAGGCGTTTGAACTGCAAGGTTGACGGTTCAAGCTCATCAGCTGCTCCCCGGAAAACCTAT